GCTTCAAGCCGCAAATGCAATCCATGCTTTCCAAAGCACACGGGACTTCTAATGTTCATCTACTACTACATGCGTTTTCGTTTTGTCTTGCTAATACAGAAACGATTCTCGTAAATTACTTAAAACAGCAGTCTATTCTCGTACCAAATATTAATAGTAGCAGAAGTTACGTCATAAGCTAATGTCACTCGCTATTTCATCGTATACAGATTGGGTTCCGAATCTTTGAGCTGTTTGCACTTTATTTTCGCATTTGTTTCCTACCGACTGCTTGAAAACAGGTGAAAGCGCTTCATTACCTTCATTCTAATTCCCACTCTCTGTATCTAAAGGGAAACAATATGGTCTTTCATTCAGCTAAAGGTGGATGCACAGCTTCGGTTCCATAACACGATCGTCACCATGCTGGGAAAACTGGAGGAGGTAAAAGGGGGGCCTTTTGCGGAGACAACCCGACAACATTCTTGAACGTTAAAACCATTCTCCGGTCTCGATTGGCCAGAAGTTCTCTCATCACTTATGGTACGTAAAAAAGCGAGTGCAAAAATAGAAATGTAAATTTGACGCTGACGCATTTTTTTTTTTTTTTTTGAACAATTGCTGCTTTCAGGACGATTTTACCCCTGACGAAAAAGTTCCAGGACCCAAGACTTTCTTCGGTTCGGAGAAACGGATCGTTTCTGGGAACCGGACAGTGGAACTCTCCGCTAGCACGACTATGGAGGGGGCACTAGTCATGTGCTTATGGGTGTATTACATAACGGGACTCTCGTACCCTATGGCATATGGACAAACCCTTGGACTCCTCTAGGGTCTGCTCGTTGAAAATAAAGTGTTTCGATTCAGTTTATGTCAGAGAAGCTCAGACAATTGCTCATGGCCGTTCAAAAACAACATAAATTCTGAGCTTCTGCTGATGGCAGGAGACGCCGAATAATTCGTTTTTAATGCTATGAAGTAGGTAACTACGCTCTAAAAAAAGCACAGGAATCTACTTTCCGGAACAGCACTTGGAAAGTCAATCACCTTAACTCACGGAAGCAGCTCATCGAATCACGATGCGGAAACATAAGATTAGACCAAAAAAGCCAGCCTGAGTTGTGACATTAAGCAATGCAAAACGTCAGGCTTGTTGTGCTTAGTGTCGCAATTCATTTTTTTTTTTTATATTATCATATGTCTCGGCATCTACATTCGCTGAGCTGACTCCGAGAGTTATGCTGATTTTCTTTCCAAATGTTGTGCGGGAAAAAAATGTATACTTATTTTTTTATGTTACCCGTTAAAAAAAATATTTTTTTTTTCAATACGATTGTTATGTTTTTGTTTATGATAGGCAAAGGTCACTTTGATAAGGTCACTTTGCAGCACTGAATTTTTTGTGCGATAGTTTCCAAGAAACGCCGATTTCTGGCGTCGTTCTAACGTCTTTTTTTTTATCCGTAAAAGCTACCAGAACATCGGTATAAAATTACTATTTTGATAAAGACATTTCAAAATATTTTCTTGTGTCATGGCAAATAAAACACGTGTTTACTCTTAAAGATTGTTACTGTTTTCTTTAACACATTGATTCCGTTTATCAAACATGATATACAGATCAAATTTCAATTCTGTTATGCAGTAGAGAATAACTTTGGTTAAACAATATCAGCGAAAGTGCGAGAACTATATCACTGCAGTGCAGCATGTCACCCGACAGTCCAAACACGAAGGAGCAGAAATTTTACGATACAATAAAAGAGATAACCTAAAGTTGGGGTCCGCTGCTTATACATTATACAAAATACATTCTGCAGACATGTTCCAATACGAGTCACCGCGACATCCGTGCTTTGTATGCCACGTGACAAAGCAACCTCTTGATTTGGTTGCCTCGTGGCGTACGAGGCTCGGGTGCCGCGGTGACTCGTTCCGGAACGTGTCTGCAGAATGTATTTTGTATGATGCATAAGCAGCGGGACCCGGACTTAAGGGGGACTATACCCCTGCATTTTAAGCGGGCCAGCGTCCCTCCAAATTTAAGGGGGAAAATATCTAAAAAATGTCCCTCTTACCAAGGGACTCTGACCTCAAATTTAAGCGAGACGCCGTATCGCCTAGTTTAAGAGGGCTGGTGTCTCACTTAATTAAGAAGGAGAATCTCCATGTAGTATTAAGAGGTCTGTCGCCCCCCTTAAGGTTAAGTGGGAAAAAATCGAAGAAATGTCGCTCTTACTAAGTGGGACAGGGCTTAGAGTGTACGAAACGGTGTATACATTGAGAAAACAAATGAAGCCATTCAACTTTTCCATTGATTGTGTTTGTTCCTTAGTAAAACTTGGTTCAGTGAATTTTACATTTCAGCATTAGCATGAACACAACAGATAAGGTCAATCACAAGTGCTTTAGAGCAGTCCAAACAGTTTCCAAGTGGCTGATGCAAAGCAGCTGACATGCTATTACCCCCAGGAAAGAGACGAGACCTCCTTGACGAATCTACTTCAAGGCACACCAAACTGAATATTGGCGTTTCTAGGAAACTGGAATCAACCAAACAATTTCATGCAAAGGTACACCACGAACAGCTTTGGTGTGAGCCCTATCTGCAGCGACAATACTGAAGCCTCGCATGCCACCATCACTAACACATGCGAGTAGTCACTCAGTGCCTGGCATACTTGGGCATTGATGAAACAAGGAAAGATTATCAATGAGTGGACTAGAAATGTTGATCCAAATGGGACTGTCTTCACATTCTTCACAATCGCTGTATGACCACGATCTGTTGGAGTGTTTCTAGATGTCAAGAGCCCATCTGGGACATAGAAATGACAAAAGATGTTAGAAAGTTTGTCACTTACACACTGGCTTTTGCTTGACCCGGCCTGCTGAGCCAACAAAACAAAATATATACATGTTAGTCATTGTTTACTCCCGTGTAAATTTCATGGGGCGCTCATTAGCTAGGTTTAGATAGTCCGCAATTTCCGAATTTTTATCTTGGTATGGGAACGAAAAAGCAGACAAGCGACACACAAAAACACGTCAGACACTGACAGCGTCGATGTGGTTCGAAGATACACTGCGCGGCAACACAAAATAAAGGCGGCATCGGTACTTCTTGGGCAATTCACTCATACTGGCTAATGTGAAACGGCAAATTTGTACTGTCCGAGCTGGTTCACTGTATTACACGTAATAGCCATTCTAATTTCATTCCTAAAAGAAAAACCAAAACGATCGCGTTTTTGGGGTAAGTTCTGAGCTCTGTGCTTTTCTACAGTGCCATGATTACAACCGTAGACTGCAACTACAATACGAAATACGATGCATGACTATACTGCGTCTCACCTAAGTGCGAAAGAAGCGAAAATTACAAACGCGAGAATCTGATCAGCGCTTGCACTGCAAGATCGCACATGCATGGCAGCAATGATCAAAGCTCGGGACCCGCCCATGTAGATTTAACTTCGATCGGATTTAAAATAAAACGGAGCATAGTTTATACGGCCTCCGTGCAGTTTCGAGTCAAAATGACGAGTATATATTCCTAAATATCACCTGCGAAGATGGGCTTCGGAGGATCGCGAAAACGCTACATTCTCGGCTGTTTTTCAATTAATAGTGCCTATCGACTCCGCCACACAAGATTTATAAAGTCCTGCTAGAAGGCAAAATCCGTTGTGTTCGTAAATGAAGAACAAGATAAAAGGCAACCTACCGGTACAATCGGACGGCGGTCTCGTAGTGACCGGCGCAACCGGCGTTTCAATCGCGAGGCTAGGCAAGCGCCTTCTTTTTGATGCTCTTCGTCGTCTTCATCTTGGAATCTTCGATATGCCTCTAGCAGACGACGGAGGAATTGTAAGGGGCACAAAGCTGCTCGATCTTGTGAACTCGGCAGATTTTAACCGGGCTACAATAAATAAAAGACTCGCGGTCGCCTCTGCAGCACGGCCGCCATGGCCGACGCCGATGTTTGTTTACCCCCCGGTATCCCCCGACATGTGCGAGGGCGGGGCTTAGCCGGAATCGTCATCAACCACCTCTCCCGCCTTCGCGCCTACTTTCTCATGCGCAGAAGACGAAAATGAGACCCACTTGCGAGGCGTTTAGCATTTTTAGCGTTTCTAACTTAATATCAGCGTCTTAGAAGCTGTACGAGAATGATAATAATGTAAGAGATATGTCTGAAGCTCATCCAGGTTGAAGGTTGGACAGAATGCACAGTACTGACATTGGCGAGAAATTTTAAAAGTGATATGACGGGTACTTGGGGTTAAACGACACTTGTTCAGGGTGACTCCGAATTATGCTCAAAACTGTGTAACCCTAAATTGGTTGAAATTTCCGATCAGTAGGCAGCTGAAGAAACACCGTCCCCATGATTCCTCGAGTACGGGCCGAGGCGCTTGGGGGATTTAGCAAATTGTCTTTTCGGGCGTAATGTTAACACTTCGAAATAATTTAAGCTACATTGAAATTCTCGTGAAAATTAGCACAAGTAATTCCAAACTTAAACTTGCCAAAGCTGAAGTTTAGGATTATTTGCGCTAATATTTAGCTCGGGAACAATGAGTCATTCACAGTTTGCTAACAAAGCACTTTTTTAACTTTTTTTTTTACTTTTTTTTTATATTGCAATTCGGCTGCCAGATAAAGCTGTATCTACGCCATATATACCTCAAATAAGGCTGTATATAAGCCAGATAAGGCAGTGTTTGCGCCAAATAAGGCTGTATATATGCCAGATGAGGCTGTATATACTCCAGATAAGGACACGTGTATAGGCCGTATATAATCATATAATGTTTGAAATGGCCAGATATGCCCCAGATATAAGCTTTCCATACGGAACAGCCCGTATTTTTCTTCCTCGTGACCATATCAGTATTTATGTGAGGGTTACTTCTTCGTGATCTTTAAGTGTTTACCAAAACTCTAAAGTCTAACAAGGAATAGAAAGCGACTTACATTTATTGTTTCAATCAGCTCTTTCTTTTCTTTTCTTTTTTCAGTGTCTCAAGACAAGCAAGCAACAATTTACAACCGACTTCAAGTTGGAATAAACGACCTGCGAAATTTTCTTATATATTATTTAAGAACCAAGAAGGATAACACGAAAAAGGAGCTCAAATCAACAATTCTTAAGAAGTCTATGGACTTTTTGAGGTACGTGATATGTAGGCGCTTTCCGGCAGCAGTGCATGGGCGCCGCTATAACCGACCTTCAGTTTTTGTTTCCTCTTATTTCGCTCACTTCACTTCGGCATAACCACAGCAGGACAGGTTATTGCCACTTTAGGTGCTACTGCGTTCCTTCCCCCCAACATAACCCTCTGTCGTAAACGCTCGCTTCAGTGACTTGGTATGTCGGTAAAACAAGAGAAGGTCGCCTACAGCGGTTCAATCTGGCGCGTGTTTAAAGCGTCTATATCAGGGGTGGCCAAGCTGCGGCTCGCGAGCCGCATGAGGCTCTTTGCGTGTTTAAGTGCGGCTGGCGACCCTCTACAAACCTAACCCCCCCCCCCCCCCTTCCCTTCTTCCCGGTCACACCAGCACTTCCCCAAAAGGAGGAATGAAACACGGTTTAAATTGAAGGACAGGCTACTGTTTGGTTGTCTTGCGCTACTGCTACCTCACCAGTTGGACTGCGTCGGACTCTGATAGATATAAAGTAGTTCTAGTTTAATTTATGGCTCCGGACAAAAGTGCCCCCCCCCCTCGCTTTCTGTCTCTCCTCTTTCAGGTGGCTCTTGGAAGTTTAGTAGTTTTGCTTGCGGCTCTTACGCCGAGTCAGCCTGGCCGCCCCGGTCTATATCTTACTGAGCAAGGCTTGTACTTCGGCTTTTTGTTGAATGCTTCCTTAAACGAGAGCATGAGAGAAAACATTATAGCATTTCTTTTTCCTGGTTGTTTTCTTCGCTTATCGTGAAATCAGTTGTCAAATAGAAGATTATTCGTCAGGTAAATTTTTTAATGTGACGGAATATCCAAAGCCTTACCTAACAATTATAGATAGTGAGAATTCCATTGTCTTCAAAGAAGGCAAGGTTGTTTTATGCCCAAAGTCACGTTTGTTACGTCAGGCGCTGTGTTTAGAACCATATTACACTTCAACATGAACCAATGATTAATTAAAATGTAGGATCCTCCCGATACAGCACATCTACTCTTCCATGCCTCGAAACTCAACTGACTGGAATCGTCTTTCCCCAGTTGTATAGTTACAATTACCATAACTTGCTAAGGTTAGAATTGCAATTCCAAATTTGCTAAACGGGTTTCCTTGTAATTTTATATTAATGCGCGTTTTTATTGTTTTTATTTTTGTATGCGTATGTCACAATGTTGCCCTTTTCTCTTTAATGCTTTCGGGCGCTAAAAGAAAACTAAATTAAAACTTTAACGGCGTGAGGTTGGCATGCTTTAAAACAGCGTCATGAATCCACTGCAAATGACCAGAGAATAAAGACCCATTCACAGAGAAGCCTTTACTCACGTTTCCTTACGTTACGTCATGAGTATTCGATACATCCGTGGTCCTTATGTCGCGTGCAAAATTACTCCTTAGCCTGATTGCCACGCTTTATGCGAAGCGCGCATATCCGGTGACTCGCAGTGTAAGCAGACGTAAGCAGCCCATAACTAAAGCAACGTAAGAAAACGCGACTGCGTGAGCTAGCCTTTTGTTCGAATTCTCATGACTTTACGAGTGATGTACATGTATTTCTTCTCAATGAAACCTTAGATGGGAGCTTCGGCGAAATTTTTATCGACTCTGATTTGCCTGAAAAGAGACCCTTTCTAAAAGTCCGCCAGGCAACATTGGCGGTCGCCATTGTAGTCTTTCTAGACTTAGTCTAGTTGGCGCAAGCTGCCGGCCGTTACAAATGATATTCGCGACTCCAGTGAACTATTAGCCCCGAGAGCGAACACAAGCGTCGCTGCGGTCGCCGCGCCCTGATTGGGTGAGGTGTACCGTGACGTCAGGGGGATGACTCCGCTCCGCGATATCGCATCGGCTCGCTTCCCAGCACCGGTTTTTTGGTTTGGCGTTGTGTGCCGCAAGCTCTTCGAGAAGCTGGGCTTCGTTTACCCGATGTACAGGACGTTGAGTTAGGCCGATATTGACGTGCTTCCGTACATTTTACAAGCCTGCTTGTCTCTTTTACCTTTAAAATTGGGTTACAAATCCCGAAAGCTACCGGCGGAGGCTATTCCGCCGATGAACCTCCCCGTCCGTTTACACAACACAATGCAATTTTGCGAGGGATTGGTGAAGCGGTGGCGCAAGTGTTTCAGGGGCTGGAATTCTGTTCCTTGCATGTTCATGGTTTAGGACGATATTACATCCCGCTTTCAAGGCATTTGAAGTGGCATTTATATCATGGGCCTTTGCGTGGTCGGTAAATTAGCTCGCGACCTCGACTTTGCGCTGCCGCACTGCATGCGCTGGTTCGCAGATGTTTTAAAGGCTCCATCTCTGATTATCTTTGAAGTGCTCGTGGAACAAGGTTGTTTTACATAAATGTAGTTTCTTCGTAAATTAATTATATAGTTTATACACGTATGCAGGCATATGTCTTAGAAGATGCACTATTGCTGGAAATTAGTTTGTATGGTAGCAGCGGAAACGGCCGAATCGCCCCCAGTTGCCTGTATGATATGTATTGAACTGCCCAAAATATGCACAGCAATAGTGCCGTAATTTGGAATGTTTATACTTTTTCCTGACATTTTTATTCCACCCTCGGGTATTTGGAAAATACACCGTTTAGTCTGAATTGTCATTTCCAATTAAAAGAGACACTGCTGCAGGTCTCCAAAACCTCCCTCAGCCTCCAAACTCCCTACAGCTGCACTCTCTGACAACAGAGGAAAACAGGAGTAAAAGCAAGCATTTGAACGTCTGTCCAGTGGTAGATGCAGCACTATTAGCAGAAAATGTGGAACTTGTGAAGGGCTACAGTCAGCCTGAGAAAAGCATCTGGTATTTTAGCTTCAGGACGATTCGATTTAAGTAAAATCTCCTTCGTTTACTTTTGGTATACATTACTTGAGAGTTGATATAAACAAGTCCACAGATACCACCCGTGTAGTCCATTGAAATACTATCCGAATCCAGCAAAGGTCAAATGCGTGCAATGTAGATAATAAAGATTCCTTGTTTTTTTTTTCCCTTTTTTTACTTCGCCCCTGCACTTGGGCTGTCTTACTTGTGATTCTCTCCCCATGGCCCAGACTGTATTTAGCATGTTGCTCGAGCAGCATGCAGTTTTTCTGCTTCGGCAATTTTGTTTAAAAACAGAGATACAAAAAAAATAGCATGCATAACCTGCCAATTCATTCAGACCATCAGCAGCATTCATTCTGCGAGATGTAAATCTACAGTGATGCTCCTGCAATTGTCGCCATATTTCTTTATTTTCATATACCAGTTGCGATTCATGCGTTGCCTGCCCTGTCAACCATGCTTAAAATGTTGGTTCAAGTTTCGCCTGTAACTACAGGCCAAACCTCCATAAAGGCACATACAAAAATGCACACTTCCTACAAAAAACGCGCGCAAAAAAAAAAAAAAAAATAGAAACGAGCGCGTAGACAGCTAGCGTCGTCACAACCTCCACAGGCGAGCGGGGCAAGTCGGGGAAAAATTCTCTCCTCGCCGTGACGTCACCCCGGTTTACCGTAAGGAGGCGCCACGCGAACTTCTCGGGGCTAATAGGGGGCGCGCTGGTCAGGCAAAATGGCGGACGAAAGGAGGTAATTTGCGTCGGTCAGCACGCGGACCACTGTAAATTTCTTGCGCTGCAGCATAAAAATCGTGCTACATATGAAAGCAAAGCGATTTTTGGACGGTAGAAACCTTCTTCTAGTTAGTGCGTAGGAATGACGCAGCGGAAGCATAAAAATAATTACTGGAAACGATGTTTGTTTTTATGCGGCCTAGGAGAACCAAGCAGCGATAGCAGACGACAGTGTAGTCTGCTATCGCTGCTTGGTTCTCAGGAGCTTCTCGGCGTTGCCGCTACGCGGCGTCGATTTCGCTGGAGTCGCCAATAGTCATTCATATCCACTAGAGCCGTATATGTAGAGAGTTTGTCCATTCATTGGGAAGTATAGGTATGGTGCCTGGATCGCGTCTCCGACTGGTGTGTTTAGCGTCCTGTCCCGCCCATACATCAAAAGTGGTCCCCAAGTGGCAACAAATGACGTCACAGAAGCCAGAGTGTCATGCTGTTGCCTGTCGCGATCTTGGCGGTTGGTCGTAGAAATGCTGGCGAAAACCACAGGCCAACGCGAGTGCCGCGGTCGTCACGGCATCCCAAGCGTCCGAACTTCCGGCTGCTGTATCTTCCGTGAACTGTCAGAGTGGAAAGCGACCTGCAGCAGAACAGGCGTCTGCCACATACACCACAGCTGTTGGGACGCCGCCAGGATCGCGATCGGCGACAGCATGACACTTCTATGACCTCCTCAGGCAGAAATTGAGGGACCACTTTTTTGGACCCGGTAAACACAGCAGTCGGAGACGCGTTCCAGGCACCACAGTATAGAAGACAAATGAGGAGGCGCCATGGGCCGAAAGCGGGCTGGGCGTGTTCCAGGGCGTCTTCACAAATTCGAAAGTGGACAACCAGAAGCCGGAAATAATACCCTGGTGGTGGTGGCGAGAAACAAACTTGATAAGTGCATCGGAGTAACTCTTGGTGACTGAAAATATGGTGCACGTGATGTTTCAATCATGGTCATTTGAAATCATGGTGGAGGAACGCGACTAGCGGAACGATCGACATAATCCGTACGTCAAGCGCCGAGGGCCGGGAAACTCTGTCCGAGCAAAACAGAGTTGAACGGCGCGTTCGTTTCTTCCATCTCTCTTCATGATCATGATCGAAGCATCAAGTGCACCCTATTTTCAACCACGAAGGTTACTACATTAAACTCTTACGCGCTTATTAAAACGACCAAAACTGTTTCTCGCTACCGCCGCTAGGGGATTCTTTTTGGCTTCTCGTTGGGCAAGAGAGAATGCCAAGTCCTCTTTCTGCGTCTGATGCACGCCCTGGCTCTGCCGGTGCCTCCCATTGACCAAACTCTCTGTATACACGGCTCTGATATCCATTGGATACGAAGCGCGTGATTGGATCTGAGTCTTCGCTGAGCGCTGACGTCAGCACTCGTGTCCAACCAGTGGACAGAGTATGTGATCTAGCAATATAGTACAGACGTTGGTGCAAACTTTAGAACGGGTGGTAGACACATTTGAACTATAGTAACATAAGTTACATATCACTATATTTTTTTCTCGCGAAGTTTTTAAAGTTTTAAAGTATGTCTGAATAATTGAGGCGTTCTGCTGGCAACACTGAAACCGTGACGTCATATGCTGTACTATTTCTCTCAGCTTATTCTCGACGTGTAACACAAAGTGGTGTGAAATGAATGCTGGTTAAGATCACGCCAGAGAAAACAAAACCAATACGTGCAAAACACTATGTTTTTTAGGTGGCTTGTTCGACTAGCAAGGTATACAACCTGTGACGTCACCCCACTGGAAAGCGCGGGAGAGTTAGATTTTTAGTTTTGGCATCACCATCACTTGACGTTTCCTCCGTGGCAATTTTGAATTTAGGAACAAGTAATAGATACCATGCCGGGAAGAGCCAAGAATGGGGGTTCTACAAATCTATCCAGATTAGGTAGCTGAAGAAACAGACGGAGTATGCTGCCATGCTTTATCTACATTGCTTGGTTATGAAACAGTCAATATAGTCAATAAATAGAGATGTCTGCCAAAAGTGCGAAGGCAGACATGTCACTCGTAGTTAAGAAGAACAAAAACAAACAATCATGATCTATAATCGTTTGGGGAGAATAGAAAACGACCACAGTATGATGCAAAAATCATATGGTTTCTCCCACTTTCTCTTAGTCTGTGCGATAGGTGTTCGTCAGGCAATATACCATGTTAAATGTACGCTGCGTTACCTACTCATTTATGAAACATTTACCTTCGACGCACCTTCGTTACTCTGTGGTGTCCACGACACATTCAGGATTGCGCAAATGGACGTCGAGCGTCTAAAGAATATGGATGGTGTGCAAGACCGTGTTGCGGAAAATATGAGGAAACTTCAAACCTACGTACAACAAACGATCCATGATTTGCAAGTAAGTAAATTCCTTGGTCAATTTGGCTAAAGCTTAATTCTTATAGAACTTATTAGTATCTTCTTTTTTTTATTTTTAAATTCATTTATGAGAGCATTGTGTTGGCGATCCAGACCTATGCCAGTCCGCCCCTCTTTCTGGTTGTCAGGAGCGTCTCGTTAACGCAGCGGAAACAACGCTTTCGCGTGTCCTTTTCCCCATCATTATGTGTGACCAAGTGACGTCAGTGGAAAACACGTATACCGAGGGAAACTGAGGGAGAGGAGGAGACAAGAGCGCGCGGTGAGGTCAGGGTGCCGGGCTCTGATTGGAAGGATGAGTGATTAGGCGCAAAGGCCAGCCGCCTTGCTCACTGTTGGAACGCGTTCGGACGCCGAACGCCGGCGTCCGGTATTCAAACGCGAGACACTGAACGAGGAGCAGACGCGACGCGCTTGTTTGCTCCGATTAGAGGGAGATGCAGCGGGTAAGAGATAAAGCCATATATCTTTTGCGTCGATCCACCAATCCTTCTAATCAGAGCTAACTGCCCACGCGTCATCTTTTAAACTAAAATCCCGTAGAGCCAATTAGTGCAATGTTCGAATCGAACGGTCACAAAAAGATTGCTCTAATTTTCTGTACGCTCTAAAAGTAAAGGTCCGACAATTATCACGACGTCACAACGACGAATGTCGTCGTCAGTGCCACGTTGCTTACTTCATTTGTCGCTTGAAAGGTGTTTCGATCGTCTTGCTATTGATCAAGAGAATTTCGTAGGTCCAATGTTAAGTGGTCTGCAGAGAAGTAGATGAAATGACTTGTTTTAGAGCTTGCTCAGCGTACACATGTTTGCATGATAATCTAGATTCTAGTCTAAGTGTGGGGATAAGCTTAGGGATGCGTACTTTTGCTTGAGGTTTCCTTTTATGTAAAAAATAAAAAAAAAAGCTAGAGAACAAGGCATGCGTCAATAAAACCGTTAAAAAAGTAAAAAAAAAAACTTTTTTTTTAATTATATGCTTGAAAGAGCGTAATCTAATTACATTCAGCGCAAATAAGAAAACAAGGCGAGGCGGGGGTCTTGTGTTTCTGATGTCTAAAAATAAACGATTGATTATTGTCGCCTGGCCAAGACAGCGTTAAAAGCAACTTCTGATCGGATCTGTTGTTTGTTTGATAAAGGGAATAATTATTTTCAATGTTCCCGAATGTTACCACGCACTAACGTGATGAATCGTGCCGCCGAAGATTATATATCTAAACTTTGACGAAAAGCATAAAATGCATGTCTAAAAGCGTAAAATGATGCCTGCAAAGCGTAATAAAAGATCTTATAAAATATTTGTTTATAATTGTCATAGAACCAACCGCCTCTTCGATTCCTTTCTTATGGTATATGGGCTGGTCGATTTCCAGTGTCTTGGAGCACCTTTAAAAGCCGATGAACATTCGGCTTGTCGAAGTCGGGCGCTCGAGGTATATTCGGTTGGTTCTTTCAGAGTGCTCTCAGATTTTCCGATCGCGCAGTCCTCTGACTCGTAGCGCTGTGAAGTGCGTCGACTTCGAAGTGAGAGCTGTGGAAGCACGTGACAGACGACCGCTCACGTGAAGCCAGTGGCTTCCACTCGCTTCACGTGGACTTGACTTGGACCAGCTCAGGGTAGAATAGACCAGTGTTTAGGCGGCATAGAACTTTTTTGCAACTTTGGAATATTTTTTTTTTTTTTGCGAAGAATGTTGAAGTACGGCTTCAACATTTTTTTCTCCTTAGAATACGTCTATGGGATGGGGCTTCCAACATATATATATATATATATATATATATATATATATATATATATATATATATATATATATATATATATATATATATATATATATATATATATATATATATGTGTGTGTGTGTGTTTGCCAGGCGCTAATAATTGAAGAAAAATGAAAAAGGTGCTTTCTTTCGCGCAATTTGTTGAATTAAAAAATATTTTAACAATTAAAATTGCTTAATCATCGCAACATAGCAAGCTAAAATTCGCTCCCATTTCATAAAACCAATTATGAAGCGCTTCTTAAAAAATATGATGCATAGTTTTACGCTCATTTTAAGAGTTCAAACCACGCTCACGATAAGAAAAAAAAAAAAATGGGTGAAACTATTTAAGGAAAATCCGTGACTTTTTACCTTGTGGTAAAAAGTCGCGGATTTTTTTTTAAACGTAGAAAATGGTCCATTGCAATGTCTGGGATGTTTGAGATGGAAGTACCCAGCGTCGGCTGCGCTCAGACTTCGGGTCAAACGAACTTATATACACATACTTTCTGCGTCTTTGTCCAGAATCCGGCCAATTGCACCGCGGCTCCGAAGCTCCGTTGTCCTCTCAGGAACAAGTACGGATTGGCATCGGGTGTCCACATCCTGCTCTGGTGCTTGCTGGAAGCGTTGCGCAAGGGAAGGACGCTGGTGGTAGACACCTCCAAGTGGCACTACGCCCCCAAAAACAAGTGGGTCAAGACGTTCCTCCCTATCCTGGGCCCATCTTGTGCGGACGCCGACACGAGGAGCACAAAAAAGAACCCAATCCCAGCAGGTAACAGGTAGCTCTTTGAGTGATCACGATAAGGGTAGCGGGTAGGGACATCCCGAACCTTTTTGTAGAGCCCCGCGCTTCGACTGCTTTGGCAGACCTAGAAAATCTTGGGTAAAAGTTTGATCAAGTTATAAATTGTCTTAGAAAATGCTCATGTTTCACCCAGTAATAGCCCCATCGGTGAAAAGAGGGCGAGAACGTTCTAGCCCAATACGTTACATGTACCGAACCTTGAAACATGATTTCTTGACGATTTTGATGAAGGATCGCCATCCCCTGTCAGTAGCAGAAGTACGTGAGCCCTCTCGCTTTCGCGCTGCGGGTCAGTCCCAGACACGAAGCTTTGAGGCTCTCCGGCGCGGGCTGTGGCGCCCGAACACACGTGTGCTGGGCTGTACACGTCTGTTTTTTTGTTCTTTTTTTCTCGGGCGCGTAAAAGCCGCAGTCTAAAGTCCACTCGTCGAACAGCGTTCACCCACACCTTCTTTAATTTCCGGTCCGTTGGAAACTTGTGAAAAAGCACCTCCGGTTTGCGCAGCGGGTTGTTTAAGCAGCCCACAGTGCTACAGGTTGCACTCGGCATCTTTCGAGGAACAGCTGGGCAGTCTTGGACGCACTGAGTTGCTCGCTAAAACAAGTCTTGAAGTCCTCTTAAGTAAATAAACAATATTCTATACCGAAGCTACAGGGGCTACAGATAAAAGCAACGGCTAAACACGCCAATCACAAGCCGAAGTAGCGGTGGTAGTGGCTCAAAGAAGCGGACTCCGCGCAACGCCCGGACCGGAGGAAAAAAAAGAGAACTATACTGACGTCACGACCCAATGTTGCTTTAGTGATCGGCAACCCGCTGTCCGCCCGCTAAGGAGCAGCGGCTCGCGGCGGGTCGCGTTTTTATTATCGGCGTTAGTTGAGAACGCGACGTCCCACGGACGTAATATTTTGGCTCGGGTCGTATTTTGTGTCGCTACAGCGATACCAGTAATTTATTTCATTTTGAGTTTTGGCCGGAGTTGCCCTTTAAATGGAGGCTCTCAATGCAACTTACTGGGAACTAGCGCCATCTATGCTCGGTAATGTCATGTAACCGCCGCCAGTGGACGACACTGCCGCATGATTCGAACTAAAATTCACTCTTTACGAAACCCGTCTTAGTTGTTCAGTCAGCAACCTGGTTCAGACGTTCGCATTCCACCTTCATTACCGAGGCTACCTTTAAGCCGGGGTTCACACTGCTTATACAGCACACAAAAGATAGCCTGCATACAGATTCAAACGAGAGACACCGCGAGATTCGTGCTTCGAATGCCGCGTGGCAGTGAGTTCAAGGAGAAAACTTGGCACTCGGCATTCGAACCGCGGATATTGCGGTGACTCGTGTTTGCAGACTGTCTTTTGTATGATGGTATGAGCAGTGTAGACACGTATCAAATCGTGAGGCTTTTACGCAAAACTGAGCCGAGATTTGTATTGCGATCGCTGTAAAAAAAAAAGAAAAAAAGAACATGATATACTATTTCTTCAATACTGTTAGCTCCAGAAATCAGTTGTCTAGCTCCGATAAAAACCCAAAATACAGCACCGCTGCTGACGGCATCTAGCGGAGGCATTGCGAAGCTGCTTGAGAGTTTGTGTTAAGTGCAGACCTTGGACTTGAAACAAACGACACATAACTTATCTCGCTGGTACTATCAACAAAGATCAATAAGCAATTACTTGTGAGCGGCAGTTCGTTAAAATCTAGACGTAAAAGTATAAGGTCACGTGTCTAGTGGTCAAAAATGCGTAACATGGCGGTGGCCGACCGGTGGTCACTTGCAGCTACCAGTTTATCGCTCTAAAGCCCACTACCTCGTTTTTTTTTTTTTCTCGCTCGTTTCAGGTTGTAACGTTATTAATTTTTTATTCGGTGCGTATAACGGATGTGTGAACGAAGTGGCCGGATAATAAAAACAATAATATTTAATAATAATACAATTTTTAGTACACGAGAGTGAGCGGAAAAACTCTATAAGAAGACGTCAGCCTGCGCTATAACTCTATGATGGTGACAAACGACGTCACAAAAGCAGGTTTGTCATGCTGTTGGATGTCGCGATCCTGGCGGGTTGTCGTAGGAGTTCCGGCTAAAAGCACGATCGAACGCGGGTGTCGCTGTCGTCGTGGCGTCCCAACTCTTGACTGCCAGAGTTTCCGTGGACTGTCAGACCAGAGAGCGACCTGCGGCAGAACAGGCGCCCGCCACATCCATCACCGCTGCTGCTGAGACACCGCCAGGATCGCGACCGGCGGAAGCGTGGCACTTCTAAGACGTCACCAGGCGGAAATCGAGGGACCGCTCTTTTTGGACTCGACAGACCAGTCCTAGGCGCGTTCCAGTAATGACGTTTCACGGAGGTGTGTCACGCTTAGTGTCACTTCGCAGAGAGTTTTTCTGTGTCTTAAACATACTTCCAGCCTGGTCATTCTTTACAGGAGTTTTTGCGGATAAACAAAACCACAAATGTTTTTTTTTTGTTTTTTTTTTTTAGAGTGATTACGGGACAAAAGTGGTCACGGGAAATTCTTATTTTTTTTTTTTTGCGATCGATGAATATAGGGACTCTTGGGTGCATACGGGGGTGGTCTCTTTAAATGTTATGTACCATTTTAGGGCAAGGGTGTCCAAACCGGGCCTGTGGTTGGCCGCTGTCTCTCCAGTGGTGCAGGGTCGGAGGAACGTTGCTACAAGTACAAACGCAGAAATAGGCGGGCGTAAAGTAGCGCCGCGATGCACACCATGAGCGCGAAATAAAGATTGAGAAAAAAAACTTGGCACGTTACCTTCAAAGTCTTATAACGCATAAAATGCATTATAGGGCCTGATAGGATTATACTCCGTTATGGGATTATAGCACATTGTAAGAATATAGAATTGGAGATGGGTGGAGGTGGAGGGAGAGGTGGATGGAGAAGGACACCCTGGGAGGAACAGCACTTAGCTCAGGGGATCAAACACGCGGCCCGTGACTCGCTAAGTCACGGCCCGCAAGTAACCGGCTACGAGCCCTTGTTCCCTATTTCTGGAGCGCTACGCGCCGAGCAAGCGCCATAATAATCTAATGTCACCGATTCATTTCTGCTCGATGCCCGTAGCTGTGCTCTATAACATATTCGCTTTCTTTCGTTTTAGTTTTTGCTCGCCAGCTTTTGTTCACCTCAGCTACATAAACTCTCACTAAGCAGGAGCGACTGCTGAAGATAAAGCTATGAACTAGGAATTCTACCCTTGAGAAAAACATCACCATAAAAATTCAGGTGCTTTATCAGAGTACTCTAAAGAATCTTCAGGAAAGCAATAATTGTCGTATGAAGAAGTTTTTTTTCGAAACATCTTGAGTATGAATATTTCCCGAGTGAATTGAGCAACGCGAACTAAAGTGTGCGTACTCGTTGTTCTATACAAAAAAATATCAGCATGATGGCGAGGCAGTGTCATTTTAATTCTTGTTATCGCAGCAGGTAAGAGCCTAACTTAGTCCTCAAAACGAATCAAACCGACAAAATGTAAGAGGCAAGACCATAAAATCCGTTCTCCATAAAAGTCACCCCCTTAAATTGACCCTCGACCTTTCGGGGGTGGGATATCTGGCCCCCGACCTCAAATGAGTTTGAGACCCCTGACATAGGTTATCTAGGAGATGTTGCTAGGAGCGGGAAGGATGGGGAAAGAAAAGTAGGGGGAAGGGAGGAGGCATGGGGGTTAGAGAATTGGCGTGTCACGTGTCTTATATTTCCCCGCTAAATTTAGCGGGGAAACTGTATGGTGTTGAGGTCACGTGACGTCAGGTCACGTGCGTCAATTTCCCCCGCTAAATTTAGCGGCGAAACTGGATTTTGGTGTTTACGTCACAGGACGTGAATTTTCCCGATAGATTTGGTGGGTAACAAAGTTGATGTATAGGTGACGTGTCGATTCTCAGCTAAGTTTGGCGGAATAACTGAATTGATGGTTTGGCCACTCGACATTAATTTCCCCGCTAAATTGAGTGGGCAAACGGAGTTGACGTACCAGTCATGTGCCGTGAATTTCCACAAGGTCACGCGACGCCACTTTTCTCGCTAAATGTAGCGAACTGATGGACGCAAAGAAGTGTGGGATTGAGGGTACCGTGAAAAAGCATTTCATGCTTTAAAACTGCATGCAAACTCGGGTTCTCTCCATATTATTCACTGCTCATTGTCATCACCAACATTACACACTCGTAGTTCCCTGCTTCATGTCTGCGTAACATAGGAAACAATTCCTTTCCTTTCTCTGTATATCGTGCTTAGCGTCATAACTTTTGCATTCTACGTCATCAGATCGACCATTCTAGTTAGCCCTCTGCTCAGTGTGAATATGCCAAGGTTCCCATGCGCTTCCATTTATGTCCAGTGAGTTCTCTGGGTCAGAATTATTTTGTAATTTCGATATAATCATATCTTCGGTTAAAAAAATGAACTATACATATTCACCCACCTTTCATTTCTTTTTTTAATTATTGATGATGATGATGATGATGATGAGGATGCGGCTTGTTCCCTTTGAAACGGGCGAGCGTGAACTAAGTTCGTGCCTAGTATTTCCTCGTTTATATTGTAGTATTTCCTTTCCAGCCCTCTAGACTGCGTCATGTCTTCAATCAGGCCTGTCAGCCAAAACGTTTGGGGACCTTTTTGAGAACCACTTACATCTTCCAGAAAGATTGGCATTGTTAGAATGGGACCATTGGTAATTTTCCGTGATTTATATCAATTAACTGACACTAATGGTTCCAAACATTCCAGACAAAAAAAAAAAAAAAAGAGGGGTCAGAAGCACTGTTGTATAACCAATAAAACTGACGCTTCATTAAAAAATGAAAACATTTGTGCAGCGGGTAGGGTTAGGAGGGACATCGTTGAGATTCCATCCGCCATCGCTGAGCCCCTGGTGGCTAATCACGGAAGCCCCTACGCCTGGTGGTACGGACAGCTCATGAGGTACATTCTCAGGCTCCAAGCCACTACATTGAAAAGAATCTCGGACTTCAAGATGTCCAGGGGGTACAAGCACCCTATCGTCGGGTAAGGATCAATGTTATTTTTATATATACTAGGGTTTCTGAAAAGCGGCGTGAATTAAAACTCGATAAAAAAATGCACGCTGACCTATAACCTATCTGAATATTCACGAAAAATGCAGCAACAAAATAAAAAAAAAACACCGATTGAATGTTTCGACTTGACTTGTCAGAACTAAAACAAACAAACATATTTTGATTTTACTTTGTGTTTTTCGGTGTCAAGCAAGATCGAAGTTTATCAGGGTTTCTTGTGAAGAAAAAAAAACGAGGTATGTGGTTCCGAACAAGGAAGTTACGCCGAGTTTCTTATTTAAGGACAGATAAAAATCGAAAGTTTTTTGGTTTTCCTCGATTTTTAATAAACGGACTCGGGGGTGAATTCTCGCGGCTTATCTGTATTTACAAAAAACACGGAACCTTACATATATAGACTTCCTTCGTTGCTAAGCGATCGGGGCTGGGGAGGCTGCGCGCTGGCCGGACCAACTGTTTCGCCCCACTTTTACATCGCCTGTCACTGTTCTCAGCACGTAAGTATTTGAGCAGAGAGTGGTTCAAGACTGAAGGTCTACCAGTGTTTCCAGTTTAGTGGTTTTCCCGCTAAACTTAGCGGTTCTGTTTAGCGGGATAGATTATGGCTTGGCGGGCGGCGGGATTTTTAGCCGGTTTTATGTAATCTTGGCGGTTTCTTTTTTTTTTAGAGAGATTGAAGTTTTATATCGATTTACTGAGAACTATGCACCTGTCATTTCCATAATCAGCTACAGTCGTCTTTGCTTACTCTCAGTAAGGTTATGGTTTGCGAGAGTAACGTCTGTGACGTCATCAAAGCATTAAGGCGTCGAGCATCAGAGCATGCTTCCCTGTTTTGTGCGCGCACGTTTGAACTGCAGTGCATGAATGTTCCTTTGACGTTTTCGTCACTGCTTAGTGAAATGGGCCTGGTGAAGTACGCTCAAAAGTTGAGAAAAGACTAGCTACAAGACCCCAGACTTTAAGACTGGCTACTGGAGGTTCCTAGTGATAGCAGACGAGCCATGCGCCGCTATTGCAGAACGGAACTATGTGCAAAACACGTGGATTTGGTCGCGCACGCTGCAAGAGTGTTGGCGGCAAGGCGTTACAAGCAATAACGTTACAGGTAACGCGTGCCTCTTTTTTGGTTCGTTCCTTTTTCGAAATAGTAACGGGTAACATATTTACGTTACTTATTTCGTGTAACGGGTAAAGGAGTTTCGTTACTCGTTGCATTTCCTTCCCGAAACTTAAAAAAAAAATGTTATCCTGGAATTTCTTTCTGCATCTAGGCGCCAAGCCACACGTGAAGTGTCGAGTTTTTTTTCCCCCTTTTTTCGTGAATAATTAGGTGAAACCGTACAAATTTTAATTTCATTATGTTCAGTTTGTGCATGAGCCAAATGTTTCTTGAATGCTTATGCATCCTACCTGTAACATCCGAACAGTCAAACGTTAATTCATAATTAAAAAAAAAAGAAAAGTAACGCAATGGTAACGTTCGTTACTTATTATCAATAACGGTAACGCGTTCCTTTTATTTTGAGGCAACGTAGGACGGTTACGTGTTTCTTTATTTTCCAAGCTAAGAGTAACGCATTTCGTTACTTCTTTTCGGTAACGCCTACAACACTGCGCTGCAACGAAAAAGCATGTTTGGGCCGCTGCACCTTCCTCCTCTGGCAGGCAGATGACTCTACCAGTTCAACTGGAGTCTGACCAGTTATGCACTGCTGAAGGGTCTCTTGCCTTGTTAGTATACGCTGACACAGCAATTTTGGCTTCGGATCACCTGGGTGAACTGTGGCGTGGCGTGACAGATTTCTAGTCAAACGACAAGGAAATTTTCCGTTTAGATGACATTGATATGACCTATAGTCTATACTATTATTATACTTTTGGACAAGAATTAGAGCAAAATAAAAATTCTTATAAAGTCATTTCTGCGCGGTGTTTTGGATTTAGCGGTTTTTAACTGTTTTCGGAATTCCGACTGCGGGTTTTTAACTTTTGAGTTTCAACACTGGGGTCCACCTGTCCAACGACGAGCATGCAGCTTTAGCCGTGTTAGGTCTCATTCACACAGCCGTTTTTTTCCCCGTCCCGGCGATAGCCCCGGCGGCGTTTCCGCCGGGGGAGAGGGTTTTCGGACCGGTTTGAGGCCCAATCGCTCTGCCGGAGCCAAAATGAGCCGAAAGACGGTGTTGTACGTCCCCGGCGCTGACGGGAGACGGGGAATGCCAGCGCCCCGCCCCAGTGAGGGACGGCTAGTCACGAAATAGGAAACTTTCGCTCAATCTGGCGGATTCTCAAAAGTCGGATGACCATGGGCACGGCCGCGGGAGAGATGATTGACCGTGCTGTGCACGTCGCCGGCACTCTCACCGGGAGGGGGAAAAAACGGCTGTGTGAATGAGACCTTAGCTTAGCAGTGGTCGGAAGATAGCTCAGGCATCGGTTATCGTGTCTTTGGAGATAATACGGGATCAGAAATTGTACAAACAAGTGAACGAGAAAAGACCTGTTTGAGACACGGTGTCGCTTTTGCACGACTGCGATACAGGGCTCCCGCGTTGCCCAGGGGGCGTTTTGCGAGAAGGGACTCGTTAGGACTTGTTTTGGGTAGTGCAGTGGTGAGCGTCTCGCACATGTAGAAGCGTGCCTGCCCTGCTGCGGAACGTGATCACGAGAAAAATACAAAGAAACAAGGAAAATTTGAGTGCCGTCGAAGCACACGTCCAAACTAAGAGCGCGAGCCAAGAAACGCCGTTTCATGTAATCATATGTAAAAAAGAACAGAAAAAAAAAACATCGGTACGCTAGATGTTTTGACAACACAACCAATTGAAATAGAGAGGCGTACCCTAGCTGTGGTGCCATGAATCTGGCACTTTCGATGGCCTTTCAGCGTTGAATCTAGCCGATTTCGGACGGCGAAGGAAAAGGTTGTTTTTTTTCGTTCTTCAGCATTACACAGCAAGAAAATCGCTCAGTGAAGGTGCCACAAAGTTGGGCGACGCCCAATCTGGTGGCTTTGTACTACCCGAAATCAGAGCGCCACAGTTTGTTTAAAGCTTCGGGAAGCGCATAAACCCCTACCAGTCAGGCTTTATCCCATCAAAAAGGGACACCAAGACGATTCGTTGGTGATCTTTTTTATGATTAATTGCTCCAGCAACACCGCAAAAACGTCCTACGGCATAATGTTTTATACTTTGTTTAACCATAGTCCAGGCGCAGTTGACGCCACGAGCTGTGTTTGTCACGTTTCTGTAGACGTGTTCTTTCATCACTGAACCAATCATAAATAGAAAAAAAAGCCTGGTGTCTTGCACTTTTGAAGCCTGTTTATTTGAACCCATTACATCGTAGCGTCGGCTGCGTTTTGAAGCAGACAGGCCGAAACGAAACTCGTATAGGTCACCTATACTGACAACCAGCGCACGCCACATATTGAATACGAGCGCTGTGTCAGTGTTTGGCGTGGACTCGTGTTCTGACCGATTGAAACCTAGTTTTAGCCATACGCTCGCGTAGCCTGTCCAATACATGCCCCACGCTGATGATTCAATAGTCGACGTATAAAATTCAGGACTGTGGATTTCTAAAGAGCTATCTGAGTCTAGCAATTTCCACAGAGTGCATATCAGGAGGAAGGACAAGATATACGTGGAAGCAGCCCGTCACGACGTCCAAGAGTACATGGTCCACGTGGAAGATTACTACGCCAAGCTTTCCCTTACAACACACGTCGAAACGAAGAGGGTGTTTGTGGCGACGGACGAACCCAGTGTCGTCGACGAGATCCGGAAAAAGTAAGTCAGCTCACGATCTCTGTGCGGGCAGAAAGGGAAGAACAGGAGGAGACAAGAGCAACAAAATGGTGAGTTGGGCCAGTTGGTTCATAATGGAAAAAGACAAGCGCCGAAAGACCAGGACAAGGTAAGAAGACGACAACACAAGGCGCAAGACGACAACACAAAAAGACGACAACACAAGCGCCTTGTGTTGTCGTCTTCTTACCTTGTCCTGGTCTTTCGGCGCTTGTCTTTTTCCATTAGGAGACAAGAGCGTACGGGGTCGTCAGGAACGATCAGAGGTTAGACTAAAAGGCCTTTGTCTCCGCGGCTCTCGTCGAACTCGTTAACGCTCCTTCACACAGTGCGTCGACCGCGTTGCGCTGCGTTGTGTCGTGCAGCTCAGCGTCTCCCCATTGGCTCGTCGCAAGGGTCGCCATAGCAACAGTTCGACGAAAACAGTCTTAACGCAGTCAGACGCCGCTGTGTGAACGTGCCTTTAAAACAGGGAACGCCGCCGGACGCCAGCATGCCGCATTCCATAAAGGGATGTCCAACCAGCTAGGATATTTCAGAACTCGTGAAGCAACACTTGTCCGCCATATGGAGTGGAAGTTGGAGTCCGGCAGTCCGTCTTCTGTGTGGACATTCACAAGAGAAAACATGACGGCTTTCTGCCTCGCCTCGTCTGCTTTTCTTTAATGTCGGTGTTCGTCAGACTTGGCATCACAGGCCACCTGCCTATGGTGTGTCTGTTGCCAGTCCATCTGTTCTGCCGTGGTTTGCGACATCGCTACCGCCGTCACCACAGCAGGAAGGCCGACGAGGTCCGGGTCCAGGTGGATTTGGTAGGTTCCGGCGTAGAAGCGCGCGTTTCGCCAACACCGCCGAGAGGACAAGGCCGTAGTGCTCCTCCAGTGACGTCACGGACGTTGGCCGACGGACGCCGCGGAACGGCAGGGAAGTAAGGGAATCGCGCGTGCAGTTTCTGTAGTAGACACACATTTTAGTGAACAAAAACGCACCTCACGAGCTAAAAGTCAGTCTATAGAAACCTATTTTGCTGCGCAGAAGGCGACCGAGCGCCTCGTGGTACGGCAAAAGAAACGTCTTCCAGCGTGGACGAACCATCGTAAAGACGTTCGATATGCTAGCTATAAACAATTCTTTAAATAGAAATATTTTTTAACGGCACGCAGTAATATATTACTGTGCGAGATTATTGTTATCATTGATAATTAGGAATAAAAAAAATAAAAAACCGGATCCTTTCCACTCTGTGAGGGTAGATGACCACGAAGCTGTTCAGCACACGACACAACCATGACAATGCATTTTTTTTTTATGCCTTCTCTTTCCCCGACGTTCGTCGTCTTGTCTGGCACGATCTTCATCGGTGGTGTTTGCCGCCCGCCGCTGCCGCTGACATTCTCGGTGGCGTTCCCGCCGTTACTCTTTGTAGACGCCTTGCTTTTCGGGAGTTATACGCTGCCTTCTCATTAGGACGAGACTAGAGAAGTGAAATAGACCTATTGCTGAATTACCCAAGCATCAAGGAGTATGCAGAAAATGGCGTTCCACGCGCCGCGCGGGCTGGCGTCTGCTGCAATCACTGTTCTAAAGCAAAAGACTAAACAAATGGCATCTTGCACGCGCGTTCGTCAACGCGTTATTTTGGTTCTTTACTCCGAATCGTTTATACAGGGAAGGCGTGCTCGTGCGGCGCGTGCGGTGGTGCGAGCGCGGAGTTTTGGTCACGCACACGAAAAATCCGCGGAACCCTAGCCATAAACAGCTTCGCTGTAAAAAAATGCAACACGAAAGTGCGGATGTCGTGACTTCTCGAGAAAGGTATGAGTGGTTTGTTTAAACGGTAATGTGGTATAATTATCGCTGCAAATGTTAAAGTAATTATGACCTTAGCCCGAAACGGGAGCAGAAGAAGGAAAAATTTTTTACGGTTGTAGAACAAATAAATAGGGACAAACACGTCTCTAACCCAGCTAAATGATTTCATTGAAACGCCTTCCTTGTATACGAAACCGCTAAGCCGCAGATTTCATAAATCAAAGAGATAAAATTCCACCAACTCGCCTGGCAGCGTCCAGACCGCGTTGTTACCGACGCCATCTCTCTCCTTTCCCCCTAGATTATGGCCAATAAACGCATTAAGAACTGAACTGCGCACTATCCCGCGCGCCTTCGTCTCTTCCTCTTTCTCGATTTCTAACTAAATTGATCTGTTGCCAGCCATGATTATAGAATTAAAGGAGACTACAACAGGGTGTCACAAAAAAAAATAAAAAAAATTACACGGTCTTTTTTACCGCAAAAATGAACTAGGCATCGCCGAACGCTCATTCTCCGCCCAAAGGTAGCGCTAGAGGTCACAGCAAGATGCCAAAGTCTCAGCCCCATACGATAATGTAATCAAAAGTTATAAGTGATTTCCTGAAAGTTTCAATGGGAAAATGGAGCCCATTTTTACCCGTTTTCGGTTTCTGGTGCCATAGAGCCCCATGTGTCTGAAAACTCCGTCGGCCGCCACTTTCCCATTGAAAGTTTCAGAAAATAACTTATAACATTTGATTAAGTTATCGGATTGGGCTGAAACTTTGGCACCTGGTTGTGACCTCTAGCGCTACCTTTGGGCGGAGAATGAGCGTTCGGCGATGCCTAGTTTATTTTTGCGGTAAAATAGACCGTGTAAATTTTCTTTTGTGACACCCTGTATAATTAAAGGAGATTACTTTATAGGGTCTTTCATCTTCAAAGTCCTATAGACGATTGCAAGCTGGGCGACTGGCCGCCGCCATGTATCTGCTCGAGCATGCACGCCCGTGCGATTACGAGCTTGCCGAAGCTACGTTCAGCCGCGCGTTGCACGCGCTTGCACGCATGGGGCACCAGTTGTGGCACCATGCTTGCAATTGTCTATATGACGCATGGAATGTTGTATTTAAGGAGCCCATTTAAAGTTGTTCACAAGACATTGAACAGTCGTTTTGGGGAGTGAATTGACACCACTAATTCAAGTTTAGATGTACATTGACACAATGACGTCACAAGACCCGGTTTAATACGACGTCAAGTCACGTAACCCCGTAACGTCATGTCAGGTGACGCAGCGTCTCGCGCTGTGTCGCAAACACAAACAAATCAATTATGTGGCTGCCTTCTCGCGAGTTAGGTTCTCAACTTGGCCACTAGAGGCGCGACGGTTGAATGTCGTCGCCAATACCGCGAGCAAGCGACATGATGCGACATGCTCTTCTGTTGCCACAGATATCCTCAGTACAAAGTGATCAACAACGAGGTGGCTTCCCTCCAGGCAAGTACCAGGAACACCAGTCGAAACAACTCCGCGCTCTTCGGTGTAATGCTCGACATCACTCTGCTGGCCGAGTCAGACTTTCTAGTCTGCACATTGTCCTCTGGGGTGAGTGAACCGTGTTCGATACGTATTGCTGCTCTTGCTCTCATCGTCGTTTATCTGAATATTGCTGCCAAGTTCGAATTTCGTTAAATACCGGTAGCATATTTCTTTAATTAGTTGAGACACCCAAGTCCGCCCGCAACCGACGCTATACGGCCCAATCAAGCCAATCAAGCACTTCCGAAAGTGCATCGTCACGGCTATTGTCGCCCTTGCATGGAGTAATATCGTGGTGCGTAAAAAGTGGCCACTAAAGCCCTATCGCGGCCCGGCTGTTAGGATTCAAGCACCCGCTAACCGGCGCAGGGGTGTTTACTCATTTATACATTCGTTATATGTGTACAACGAGGAAATAGTTCTACTTTAATTTACAAGCTTCTATTAGTAGCTTCGAAAGCTTTTAGAAACGTTACGACTGCGACTAGGGTTTTGGCGAGACGCACGACCCGCCATAACAGCAGCCAAGGTAGTGTGGTGCGGATGCGACGCGCTGTTGCTGTCATCGTCTGGAATTCTCGACGTTCTTTCTCTGTGGCGAAGGTAAGACGGTTAGAGCGCAACCATGTGGAGAGTGTTTCGAGCGTCTCTTTGATCGTCAACTGCGTCGGCGTAAAGCTGTTTTCTGTTTTCCACAAAGTCAAGCGAGCTGACGCAGTAGGGAGTATTCACTGACGGTCATAGCTCTGTGCGCGGCTGCTGAGCACGTGCTGACGGTGAGCGTCCACAGTTCTTTTGCAACTTACATTCGGCACCATCGATATTGCCGCTCTTAGCAGGCTAATTACGTGAGATCGTTCGGAGCATGGGCTCTAAACAGTGCCCTCAACTATGGCGTCCAGCGAATACCCGCAGCGAGAGGTTTGGGTATCGCCTCCTGGTGGAATTTTTCCACAGCCCAGAGTTGGAATACTCCAACTTCCTCTGCTGGGGCAAGCACGTGCAATGCCAAGCTTCTAAGCGCTATGACAATACAAACATAACCACGTGTGTAGCACATCCATTACCATAGCCTCCTCTATAGTGGCAAAGACTGACAGATCGCCACGAAAAGTGGCCGCCGAAATTGAACAGGCAGAGCGGCAGAGAACGGATGAGAAGAGAGCCACGTGACGGGAGCCCCGCTGCGGCGAGACGCTGAAACACACTTCTCCTGGGCGATGGAATGTTCGCTGGTCCTCCTCGCGTTCCTCGCGCTACCGCTTGTTTTCTCGTCGGGTTTAAAAACCATGTTTCGAGTCCTCGCCACTGGCGACGACTCGACACTTTAGCGAACAAGGCGGGCTTCGTTTGCTAAAACGTCGTTCGATCAAGTCAGTGCCTACCAGGTAGTACCCAACTTAACCTTAATCATGGCACATGGTAGTGCGTTCACTCTTAAAGATTTATAGTTTCTACCATTTTGACGAAGTGAATAAAAAAGTACCTGTAAAAAGTCACTTCACTTTGTTACAACTTACTGGAAAATGTACCTAAGATACAGATACGGATACCGAGAAATGGAAGTACCTAGGTTTGTACCTCAGGTAAAACAAAACTACCTAGATACCGATCTCAATTTACTTGTACGAGGTACTTTACAACCCTGGTCGAAAGCATGATAGTTCCGCGGGAGAAATTGAATTGAATATACTTTATTAAGACAAACGTCTTGGAGGATAGAGCTTTTGCGAGTAATGTCTCTACACGTATTAAAGTTTAAGGCGACGTATAGGATGACGTCAAGGACGAAGTTCTAGAGATCGGCGCCAAGTACGGCGTCTAGGACGACCTCTAGAATGACGTCGAGGACGGCGTCAAGGGCTTCGTCTAGGACGACACCGAGGTCGGTCTCTCAGACGACCATAAAGACGACGTCAAAAACGACGTCAAGAACGGCGTCTAGGACGACGTGGAGGATGACGTCGTAGAGGACGACGTCCAGAACGACGTCCAGGACGACGTATAGGACGACCTTAAGGATGACATCTAGGATGAAGTCGAGAAGGACGCCTAGAGGAGGACACTTAAAAAGGCTATTAGCGTATTTGCGTGGGCGACCACCTTGGCCTGCGGAAGCCGCCGTAGATGTAGACGCTGCTGCCGATGTCTAGGCTGAAGATGTAGACGCGGTCGCCTCACAGTCCATCGCACGAAGCACGCAACGAGCACACATGAAGTCCGAAGCGCACCTTTTGTTTACAACGCTCCGGTGGTGACATCACGCTCCCGCACTTGAGCGTGAGCGGCGTGTGCTTGATGAGGTAATTTTATGACCATCTTTCGGGCACAACGACGCCGCTTTCGCGCGTAATGGGGCAAGTAAGGTCGTTCTAGAAAGACCTCTAGGACGACATCAAGGACGACGCCAAGCACAGCGTCGTCCTTGAGCATACTCGTTGCGTGCCGGTCGCACCGGCAAGGGCTCGCCGCTGATTGGCCACCTGAAGTCGCCATTATTGTGCATAGTGTGCTCTGGAATTTAGAATTAACGCGAACATTTAAGCAATCAATTCGTACCTAAATTAAAAATTATAGTTAATCACGGCAGACTAGGTGGCGCAGCGGAACCAGTAATAGTTACCCACTTTCTTAGGTAGCAGCTATCAATGTCTTCAGCCATGTAGCGAACGGAAGTGCCTAAACAGAAATCCAAGACCAGCTTCACAACAAGTGCGCGGACAGTCGAGTGAGCCGCTGTGGCGTATGGGATCGGTCAATCTTTAAGGTTACATCATATAGACGCTTTCAGCGAGTCAGTTACTCGAGCTGCCACCAGTCGGCGCGCCCTTCGTGCGCTTTCCGAGCCGCCATAGCCGACCTTCAGTCTCTCGCCGTTGCTCCGCGTTGTGCGCTGCACGGGCCACTACCGGCGCTTATTTTTCGTGTTCTTTTACGTTGCGCGTTAAAATCTTGTATTTGCTTTAGACCTTTTCGATATTTAGGACTTTCATTTAATCATTTGATATTTATATTTCGGCATAGCTCTTGTATTTTCTTATTTATGAAATGGAATCGAACAGCGAATGGGTCGACGATACAAAATGTTGAGGCTTCAATGACCATGTAAGTTCATCCCATTCTTACGTTTTGGTCGCTAATAAAGGGAAGTCAACACTATTGCGACATATGTAAATTGCAACTGACGCAGTAAGGCTATCGCAGTCGTGCTTCCCGCTGCATGTGCGCGCTCGTTTCCGTAAAGCCGACCCGCATGTCAGCGATTTAGCGTGCGACGAGACGAGCGACGGAGATTTCTCACCGTCGCCCGTCGCATCGCCCGGTTTTGGGATTTCTAGAAAACATCGCTCACCGTCTTGGTCGCTTGCTCCGTCGCTTCCATGCTGTATGCCTCGTCGCGAGACTGACTGAGCGACAGCGAAGCGGGTCGCCGTCGCTTATCTGGTCGCTCGCCAAATCGCTTACATGCGGTTTTTACCCAATTAATTTCCATGCACACACCATTGAACCATTGGCGCCTTGATATTAAGTATAAACCGCATGCAACCGATTCAGCGAGCAACGAGTCAAGTGACGGTGACCCGCTTCGCTGTCGCTCGGGCGGTCGCGCGACGAGGCAAACCGCATGGAAGCGACGGGAGCAGGCGACCAAGACGGTGAGCGACGTTTTCTAGAAACCCAAAAAACCGAGTGATGCAACAGGCGACAGTGAGAAATCTTTGTCGCTGACTCTCGTCGTTGTCGCCATCGCTCGTCTCGTCGCACGCTAAATCGCTTACATGCGGGTCGGCTTTACGGAAACAAGCGCGCACATGCAGCGAGAAGCACGACTGGATAGTCAGTTGAAATTTGCATATGTCGCAATGGTGTTGACTGCCTTTTATTAGCGAGCAAAACGTTAGGATGGGATGAACTTACATGGTCTCTGAAGCCATAATCTTGTATCTCGATCCATTCGCTGTCCCACTCAATTCATAAATAAGAAAATACAAGAGCTATGTTGATATATAGATATCAAATGATTAAATGAAAGCCCGAAATATCGGAAAGACCCAAAGAAAATACGCAATTTCAACGCGGAACCTAAAAGAACGCGAAAACAAAACTCCGGTAGTGGTCGGTGCAGCACACAACGCGGAGGAACGGCGAGAAACTGAAGGGCGGCTATGGCGGCAGGGTCACGTGACGTCAAGATGGCGGCGCCCATGAAATGTTGCTTGAAAGGGTCTATATTACTTTATGCTCTTCGTGAGTTTTCTATCAGCGGATAAACAAATCACGCACCGAAAAAGCGCAGGATTACGACGACAAAAGCGACGACCACCCTGACGATGCGCTTTTTGAGCTGCTCCAATGGCTCTACGGGAATGCAGCGTCGACTTTGCTCGAACTTACTGTGAAACGCAGTATAAAATGCGATATTTCATTCATGGCACAGGGCGGCAGCTGGGTGTATCTATCAATAATCACGCTGAACGTTATTAATCTTTTCTGAGTAGATCTCTAAGGGGACAGGGCGCGACGCGGCTGTGTTCTCTCAGACGCACTCTGTCCACGCCGTTAGGGGAGGATTTTGTGCGGATAGGTGAGCCATCTACCGTAAATGAGAGTAGAAGAATATATTCTCAGTGAAATGGTGTCTCCGTCTCTTTTTGCAGTTTTGCCGAGTAGCCTACGAGCTGATGCAAACCCGACACCCCGATGCCTCGCTGAGGGTGACTTCTCTGGACGTGGAGTACTTCTACGCATACAACTCCTTCCCACCGATGAAGGCGCTGTACGGCAACCGACCGGCGTCAGGCAAAGAACTGGGCTGGCCAGGGGCCGGCGTGCTAATTAAGAGACCCGGGGCCGGCTGGGCGATCGCGTCGGCGTTGTTCAAGAGGTACAACGACGGCTTCAACCCAGGTCGCTTATTGAGCGCCTCCAAGAGAAGCAAATCCAAACAGTATCCGAGGTTCAAAACCACGCAGACGTACTTTGTTACAAATTTCAAGGCTTTTACCGCGCCCTTACGTTAAACAGCTTTCGCGAGAACAAAGAGAAGCGTCATCCGGGTTTGAAGGTTTTTTTGCAAAGCTTGAAGCGCCACCCGCTGCGCCGAAAGGAATCCCGGGAACAACCTGTATACAGAACCGGCTGTAGCAGACGCC